TGTGTTGGAATCAAAGACAACATTCATTGATCGGCACCTATCACATGATGGATAGCACACATGTCTCAACTTCTCATGCCTGCTTCTAGTTCCACATTGTGTTGTGGTGGGACATAGACCACTAATGATTTTATGTCTGCACCTCCACTGCTTCATTGTGATACATGTTTTAACTTGTTATAACAAAGTAATAATAATAAATAAGACAATGAATGACACCACCAAGGGTTGACCTTGGTGTTGACCCTGGTGGTGTCCGAGTACTATGAGACCAAAATGGGAAGGGGGTCCATTTCACTTTAAGGGGATTTTTTTGTTGAGATCTTCCTGTTTGAGTGTGTGGGTGCAAGAGGGGTGGTGCGCCAGGTACTACTAGGAAGGGAATCTGTAGAGATACTATCAACAACAAGAACATCGAACATTCTTCCGACCCCACCGACAACTCGTTCGCCTCACACAAGATCAACAACCCGATCAACAACAGAGTTCAGTTCAAAATGGTAACACTCCACAAGTGCTCGTCATTCCAACCAGACAAGCAAATCATCAACACATCCTACAACCATGACGATGGCAGATTCGCAGTCTTCATCGCTTCGCCTCCAACATCTCGTCCCCAAAGATCTACAGGAGATAAGGCCCAACAGAAAACAKCAAGCCCTCAGCAAGACTACAACAACCCCTCGAGCAGCAGCTCGCAGCCAGCATCACCAGAGATCGTCTCTGACACCWACTACGACAGCAATTCGAACAACAACAACAACAACAATAACGACTCCAACATGGACACAACCTGTAGCTCCTCCGACAACCTCTCCACGATTGACAGYACAACACCCCTTAACAGCTTTATGGACGACTCGACGCCAGTCTCCACCCTCGCAGACAACGACCTTCCATCCCCAGTAACCACGACAACCACAACAACAACAACCACAWCATCTTCCACCCAGAGTCTCCGCCATCTCAACACCCACTCACTCTATCACTTCAAGGGCAACTCACCAGACGAAGAAGACGAAGACCGTGACAGCAACTCATCCGTCAGCACATCTGAACACTCATCATCAAACGATTCGGTAGTGGACAACAGAGAACATAYTCAACCAGGCACAGATTCAACTCCCAAGCGACCTCTAACAAGATATGACAACCCAACATCTCCCACATCCCCACCTCTAAAGTCTAGAAAGGAAGAATGAATAACTCCAACTTTACCCTAATGGTCTGGAACGTCAGAAGTGCCCAGTCAGCTGACGCAGTCAAAGCAACGATAGCCCACATCACGCTTCAAAACCCAACCATAACCATACTCATCGAAACAAACAATATCCCAACATACAGCAAACTCCACTCCCATTACCCAACAATGTACAACACACCAGATAGCCCAAAGGGCCAAGGCATAGCTATCATCCCAACAAACTCATYCACCACCACCATCGACTCCATCCTCACATCACCAGACCAAAGAATAGTCACCTTCAAACTCAAGCACTTCAATCTCAACATTAAGGTCGGTGTCATCTACGCACCACCGTCGCGACAAGAAAGAGTCACCTGGTTCACAGACACAGCACAACCTCAGTCAGAAATGCTCCTTGACTGCGACATCATCTGTGGCGACTTCAACATGATCCCCAACTCTGTTGAACCCCTCAACCTCCACTACACTGCACTCTTCAAGTCCCTCGCCCTCACCAACCTCTTTCATCACCACACATACACCTGGACACAAAAAGACAAACAATCCAACATTGATAGGACGTACGTCAACGACGAGCTCAACACAGCAGTCACGTCCAACGAAGCSATCACCTCAACCAAGTCCGACCACCTTATCCTCCTCACCTCCTTCCACATCAACAACCTCTCCCCACCTCCCCTCTGCACCAGACGATTCATCCTCCACCCAAACACAGCCAACGACTCCAAAACAATCCAAAAGATCAACAACATAATCACCGACTCTCAACACACCTCCTACACACCAACTGACACCTGGACCAACATCAAGAACACTGTCAACGAGCAATACCAATTCGCGCAACACATCAAAGTCAAGAAGCTCAGAAAGAGAACCAGGAAGCTCATCAACCAACTTAAAAGGATAGACTCTATGTCCTCCCCAGACCCAGAAGCCCGAGCCAGAGTCTACACACGAATGCAATACCTCATCAACCAACAGTGGGAAGAYAAGAAGCTATTCATCAGCAAGCAACAACACCTCTACAGTGACCTCCCATCCAAGTTCCTCACAGCCAAGCTCAAACAGAAAGAAGCAGCTCAGAACATCACCTCAATCACACATCCATCAACTGACTCTCCAGTCACCGAACAAACTGACATCTTGGACGCCTTCCACACCTTCTATCGCTCCCTCTTCGAACAWAGACCATCATCTCCAGAAGTACACCAAGGCATGCTCGCCAATTGGGATATCCCAGCCCCTCCCTCTGAACTACTCCAGGAACAAGGACAACCAATCACCCAAGAAGAAMTATACAACGCAATCAACCACATCCCACCACACAAAGCCCCAGGAGTAGACGGCTTAACAGCSGCCTTCTACAAAACCCATCTCCACCAACTCACGCACCACCTGCTCGACCTATTCAACCACTTCCTCTCCACGGGCTATATCCCATCCAACTTCAAACAAGGAATCATCACCACCATCTACAAGAAGAAAGGAGACAAGCTCCTAATAGCCAACAGACGACCAATCACTCTGCTCAACGTCGACTACAAAATCTACTCCAAGATCCTCAACACTCGACTACTCCACTACGTACCCTCCATCATCAACAACAACCAGAACGGGTTCATCCCAGGCAGATCCATATTCAACAACATCATCACACTCAACGAAGCAATGACCAATCTCTCCCACCTTTCAAACYCCGACGTCGACCATGACGACACAGCCGTCGCACTGCTCCTGGATCAAGAGAAAGCATTCGACTCCATCTCACACTCAGCCATCCACCGGACACTCGACCACATCAGGATCCACCCATCGCTGACACAAGCCATCCTYTCACTCCTGATCGACTCTGAAGCCACAGTACTCGTCAACAACCAACAAACTTCACCATTCACAATCGGAAGGGGCGTCCGTCARGGAGACCCCACCAGCCCAACTCTATACGCACTCGTAATCGAATGCCTTGCAAGAAAYWTTCAGAACGACCCCCGCATCCAAGGAGTACCCACCCACAACACCGACACCACCCAATCACCAATTCCTCGCCACCTCTTCCACKCATACCTACGACAGCTAATGTATGCCGATGATCTCACATTGGTAGCSCCATCCTCAACTCAACTGGACAAATCACTCATACACGTAGACAACTTTGGGAAAGCCACCTCATCCAAGCTCAACCCAGCAAAATGCTTCTACTTCTCCATCAAAGACTCGACAATCAACCCAGCACACGGCTTCACCAAAGTCGCAGCCAACAAATCAGAAACATACCTTGGCCACGAGTTCACCCAYGACGGCCTMCTCAACAACATCCACAGCAAAGTCCAGACAATCACAGCACTCTTCATCCTATGGAAACAGTCCTGCTCAACATTCAAAGCCAAAACATGCATCATCAAGACCTACATCCTATCCAAGCTCACCTTCCTCCAGAACCTCAACAAGACCTCCCAGAATGATATCAGCACAATCAACAACCTCATTCACTGGTTCTTATCAACATCCTCYCAACCATACAACCACAACAGTCACTACAAACCACAGATGTCCCCTCTKCGCCGCCTACTTCCGATGAAGTATGGAGGTCTAGGCATCTGGGACCTTGAAGCCCGCGACACTGCCCTCAAGGCCCAAGTCTTTGACACCTTCCTCAACAACCACACCACTCTCCCTTATGGCCCATCCTGGCATCACAACCTAAAAGAACAAATTGCTTTCAACACAGAAGCCAACCTCCAAGAWCGCGACATCCAAGGTTTCTCTTGCCTCTCGAACACCCARGCCATCTGCTACTCAGCCTGGCTCCAACTAAACCCAGCCGCTTCAACCCTCTCATTCCCTACCCCCATATTCAACTATAACCCTCTCCACTTCGCATCCAACGACACCTCCTTTATCAACTACTTCAATATCAACGACCAACCAATATTCAACGTCTCCAACAAACGAATAACCTGTAAACACTACTACCTCCTCCTCATCCACCTCAAATACAAACGCAACAACTCCCAGGCCACTCTACAACTCCCTTTCACCCCATCACAACTTACATTCCAAGCCGATCATGACCTGGACTACTCTCTCCTCCTGCCTCTCATCACAAAGGTCAGACACAAACAAGCATACAACACCATATTCAGATTTATCACCAAACTCCTACCACTGCCCAAACCTTCCCCTACATGTCCATGCTGTGATATGACAGCCACCTCCGAGCATATCTTCTTCGAGTGCGACAGCCTCCTACCTCGTCACCGCCAGAACTATCTCACTGCCTCCGCCAACCTATACATCACCACTGGCCCCTGGTCCCCTCGGTCCCTCGACACTCACGACCACCCAAACTCAGCTCTGCTGATCAACCTCGTAGCAATCAATATGCACAAGATTTGGCTCGACTACTGCAGCTGGACACACGAAGGGAAGAAAGCAAGCATCCCTCACGACGCAACGCTCATCACCCTAAACTACATCATCAACCTGGAATCTCAAACCACAATCGACAACATCACTTCCAGAATCAACAAGCTCACAGCTAACAACTCCCCACCCACCTCCATCAGGGAAACAACCAACAACATGATCAACAACTTCCGATCCACTT